ATATGTATGTCCTTGTACCGCCTCTGATCTCCATGGTTTCTGATGAATAATCAGCTGTTGATCTTTTTGAAGTGTGCTTGTAATTGACATATTGATTCACTTGCTGTCTTCAAGATTCTCTTTTTGTTCTAGGCTAGGAATAGTTTTATAATGGTGTGTCTAGGTGTGAATTTCTTTAAGTTTGCCCTATGTGGATGTTAGCGCTTTGGGGATGTATAGATTAATGTTTTTTCATCAAATTTGGGGAAGTTTTTACCATTATCTCTTCAAACGTTTTTACTGTCCCCTTTCCCCTCTCAGATCTCCCATTATACCTGTGTTGGTGTGCTTGTGCCACAAGTCTCTGAGGATGTGTTCCTTTTTATGTATTCCTCTTGTTGCCTCTGTCAGACTGGATAATCTCAACTGTCGTATTCTCACATCCCTTGATTCTCCCTTCTGTCTTCTCAAACATCCTGTTAACCCTCTGTGCATTTTTTTATTTGAGTTATTTCTCTTGTCAGCTTTAGAATTCTATTTGGTCATATATGATTTCTCTTTATTTGGAGAGACATCAGCCTCATACTTTTTCTATACATGATCTCTTCTAGTTATTTGGATATGTTAATTGGATGCTAGTACAGAGATTTTTGTTCATATACAGAGAAACATACAACAAACATTCACAACTATGTACCATCCTCCAACTGTCTTGTCTTCTCTCTACCTCACATTGTGATCAGATTTCTAAATAACTTTCTCCCCAACCATAGTATTACTCCTTTTGGGTAGATTCTCATTATCTACTTTACTTCTACCTCACGGTGTAATTTGTTCTGGATATTTAGAAGTCTGAGGCTAACAAGAAATATACAGTATGCTTTCAGAGATGAAAGTCCAGTTAAAATATGAAGCAAGGTAGGTAGTACAATATAAACTGGCCAGGAATGGCTTTTTTACACAAGTGGGTTGTAGCAGAGACCTTAATGTCAGTGAGTTAGCTCAGCGAAAGCCATGCAAAAGATCTTTGAGGCAGAAGGAGTAACAAGTATAAATGCTCCAAGGTAGAAGCAAGTTCAATGTAATCTAAAGAGCTGTGATTACTAATGATTAGACCTCAGGCTGGACAGGAGGCCAGAGGAGTAGACAGGAGCATGCTTGTGTGGGATTCTTAGATTATGATAAGGAAGTTGAGTTACATCTAATTTTATTAGGAACTATCAAGTTTTAGCAGGGGAGCGTGATGTGTTATACCTTCTCATTTAGTCAAAACTAATCCATTCAGAAACACTCAAATAGTGCATGTTTGTGGCTCCTGATTTCAGTGTTTTGACATTAGTAGCAAACGTGGTCATTTTAAAGCAGATATTGGGGCTAACGTGTCAGAAATGTTGCTTCTGGTTTATTTACTATTTTGTATTTACCCTCTGTACAAGGTACTACTTTATATTTTAGCCCCTGTGTTAGGATAAGCACAGAACTTTTGACGAACTTACATGAAGTTAATGCCCTAATTCATCATCACATGTGTGTAGTTGTCTGGCAGTGAGCATGAGTTTGGGGGTTGTTTGTTTGTTTATTTGTTTGTTTTTTGTACCTGGGATCAAACTCAGGACCTTAACCTTGTGAGGCAGGCATAGATAGCACCACTGAGCTAAATCCATGGAGAGCGTGGACTTTTGCTAATCCACTAGCAGCCTTTCTCTTGGTTGCCATAATGGATGGTGGCATGCAGTGAAATGACAGCTCATGAGTGGCACATGGCCAGGGGACAGTGCCTGGCCACAGAGAGTAAACCAGTGACCCTGGAGTCATGAGCGTACAGTGGCCCCAAACCCATGGAGCCATGTATGAATACTTTGAATACCAACATCTCATTTACTTTCTGTTATTATGTGTCATTTGGTAGTGGTATCACATTACATGGAGACTTTTTAAGCTTTTGTAAAGTTTACATATGATTCTAAAGCTGTGCAGTATTATTGGTAAAGCTTTTAGATCTTTGCATTTGGGGAAATTAAAAGTATTAGGTCTTCTGTGAGCTCTGCCATAGATTGAGGCTTGACTTTAGCTATCATACTCATTTCTCTGGGACTTAGTTTCTCCCATCTGTCAAATAAGGTGTCTTAGTCACTTTCCCATCTCTGAGACACAATACCCCACACAACTTAAAGGCAGAGAGGTTTGTTTTGGCTTTTAGAGGATTCGGTCTATAGTCAGCTGGTTCCAAGGCAGGAAGGGCATGGTGAAAGGGTTTGGTGAAAGAAGCTAATCCCATCATGGTAGCCAGGAAGCAGAGAGCAAAGGGAGAAGCCAGGCGGGAACTACAACCTTTGAGGTCAGGCCCCAGTGAAGCACCTCTCCCTACCAAGCCGCACTCTCACAGCACATGCAGCAATGGATTCTCGGGTGGATTAATCCACTGATGAGGAAAATACTCCCTTTATCTAATCACTTTCTACACACATGAGAATTGGGAGAAACATTTTAGATCCAAGTCCAAACATAAGGTGAGTGGACTCATACTGATGTCCCTTCCAGCACTAATATTTGGTGATTGGGTAACTCTAAGAGTTACCTTATTTGGGTAAACCTGTAGGATAGAAATGATGGTAAGATGAGTAAAAATTAAACAGAAACCCTCTGACATTTTTAGCCTGATGAGTTACTGAACTGCACAAAGAGTTTAATGGGAACTCTTATTTCCGGATGTCCATACCATAACATTTTTTTTCACTTCTGACATTTTTTTTCCTCTCTTTTTTTTTTCTTGAGTTTGTTGGTACATTTTAGGTGTACAGTACAGTTACATTCATCATTGGGATCTTGTACCTTTACATGACAGGTCTTGGTTCTCATTGTTTTCCCTTTGTCTGTGTCCTCCCTTCACCCTCTCCTCCCCTCCCTGTTTTCACTTCTGCCATTTATCTCTAATGAGTATGAAAGGGACAGCTGACAACACAGAACCAGGCACATGAAGATTTATCCTATGGATGAAGGTGGGATCCAACTGGATTAAAGCAGTGTTTATAAGGGAACTGCCTCAAATTGGGGCTGCTTTTTTGTATTATTCTAGTGGTAATGACAGAAAGGTAATAGTTGGCTTTTTGGTTCAGCCTGTTAAAACCATTGTTTAGCTAGGTAAACCCTGATTTATACCCTATGTAAAAATAAATCTCCTCTTAGGACTTCTTACCAGAGTACATGTGGATGGGCTTACACCTTGTACTTTTGAGCACAAGCCATTCACTGGATTGGTCCAGTAAGCTGCCCTTGTTACTCTTCCAAGTACCATGTAAAGCGTGATCTTGAGCTCATTCATCCTTGCAGCTGCCCATTCATCTGAAAGATTAATGAGAATATGCACTTTGCTTTTCATGCCACATTTTTACTTTTGCTGCATCTATAGTAAAAATTCCATTTTAGTACCTAAGGGATGGTTCATCTCATTGACTATATGTCTTTTTCTCATGGTTTTCCCAGTAGCACCCAGAGCTGAAGCATAAGTTTTGGTTACATCCTGGTTTTCCAACTTTTTGTCAGAATCTAGAAACTATAAACAAAATTTATCTAAAACAGTGATCTTTTTTCCTCTTACCTGCTTTAAACAAGACAAAGCTAGTAACTTCGTATATTTTGTGTGTTCAATATTCTACATTGAAACTTTTGATTAAAAATTTTTTTCTCTGATGTACAGTTTTACAAAAATGTGATATAAAAATATATCCACAAAACACACTTGACTATATTTCAAAAGAATGGCATACTTCGCTGCATTAAGCATTCAGATAAGCCATCCAGTAGTAAAGTGATAAATGGAAGTTTTAGCCTTTGATCAGAAAAAATTTCTTCTCACATATCCTTGATAGTTTCTTTATAGAACTGAAAAACTGAATGCATTTGACTCTTAAAGGAAAGTTTATTACATACTGTTTTCAGTGGCTCTCATCATATTATTGAAGAAAGTAATGGTTCTTTGCATAAACTATATCCCTGAAATTCATATGCCATTTACATAAGATTAAAAATTTAATAAGCATACCCAAGTGTGTACTTCCAAATGAATACTAGTTCCTTGAAAATAGTCACCTAGGAAACTTCAGTTGTTTCAGTGATGCTGTTGTTGCCACAAATGGTTTGTGGTTCCTTCTTTGAAACTGTCTCAGAGTAACCATACCTAGTTGGTTAAATTTGTGATAATTTTAACTTGTGCATTTATTCATTTGACATATTTATTAAGCACCTCCTGTATTATCCACCAGTTTTGCTAATTTCGAAATTGATGAACATGAAAAACAAACAAAAATGGTTCCTGCTTTCATTATGTTCCCAATCTAGTGTTTTTTAATTTTTTGGAAAAGCGAAGAATCATTTAAGAAGGGTTTTAATAAACACCATTTTAAAGAAAAATACATTATGATACAATGAGATTGGGATTTCTTTTTTACCTCATAAAATGGTGTTCAAAGTGTTATCAAAGATAATTTTCAACCCAAAACCAAGATAGTATCTTGAGAATAGATTTTTTTTCTTGTCTTGATACATAATTTGAAGAGCTGCATTCATTGAGATAAATGTTATTTTGCTTTATAAGTTTTTAGGTGTATTTTAAGCCTAATATCTACCAGCTTTTGTTTGGTTAAAGTGAACATTCTAAGTTAGGGCCCTAATTTACATTTGAACAAAAAGGCACATGAGACACAACAAATGTGGCTGTTACATTGACTTTATGGGTTTGTGTATGTATAATTTTCAGTGAAATGCAGATTCTGACCAGCCCTGACTAGTTTCCTTTCATTTTTTTTTCATTCTGTGACTGACTATACACTTGGAATAAAAGGAAGTAGCTAGTTATACTTCATCTGGAGGTCTGATTATATCCGTAAATATGAATAAAACCCCATTTTGTCTAACCTCTAATGCATGTTGTAAGATGAGTAAAAATGTATTTTGTTAGTAAATACACAAAGGAAAAGCCCAGTCTGCTTTTCTTTGTAGTAACACAACTTTTGTGTCTACAGGGGGATCTTTGGATGTATATAGGAAAATTCCAGAACATGTCCTTGGAAGAATTGCAGTAGCAGTAAGTATATGATTTCAGTACTAGGAAATTTGGCTTATTTAATCCTTCTAGTTATGCCTATTCTTATATCCTTACGATTTTTTTAAATTTTATTTTTTCTTTTTTTAATCCTAATTGGCTATCAGGTCCTTCCTACCTTTCTTGCGCTTTCATCATTTTATCTTTTCTTCTTTGCATAGACCCCTAACCTAGTCACATGCCATGTGTTAGGCCTGGCAGTCATCTGACCTGTTGTAGTATCATGTGTGCAGGGACCTAAGTAGTCAAATTGACCAGTAGAATTTCCAACTTCTTCAAAAATAAAAATAGTCTTTTGGACATTTTATCGATCTCAATATGTGACTAGAAAATATTTTTAAAACCTAAAATAAGAATAGGGATTTAGCTGAGTGGCACCACGCCTTCCTGGCAAGTGCAAGGTCCTGAGTTTGTCCCCGGTACCAGCAAAAAAACAAAAAAAAAAAGCCCATGGGCTATAAAAAGCCTAAAATAAAATTAAAATCATTTATGAAAAATACTACTTTGCTTTCAGAGATCTCTGTAGTTTTCTGATGTTCTATAACTTATTTAATCAGTCACTTCTAGGAAATTATTCCCTTTGTGATGAAAAGCAATTTTCCACCTCTTATATTCATTAATAAACTGGTGAAATGTATCAGCTAAACTAACATTACTATTTAAGTTTCAGATTTTATATGTGGAGTAATGTGGACTAAGCAGCGTCTCTGAGAAATTATGGGATGGTATAACAGTAAACAATTGCTAAACTAAAGGCACCCTGATAGCTTAAGTGGTTTAATACAGAACAAAGTGGTATTACCATGTACCATTTAATTAAATGGCTGATTTTCACATTCATTATACATCAAACTGACAACTCAAACTCTTTAATCCAACATGGACACTTATTTAGGCTTAGTTCCCTGTAATTCACAGCTTTCCTTTTTTCTTTCTAATTATTAGTGTGAACTGCCCAGGGTGATGAGAACTTTCTTTTCTGATGCTCTACATGTGTAGGTAGATTAATCTGAAATTTGAGCACTTAGATCACATTTTAGATGAAAATAAAAATGTTTCATTTCTTCTTCTAATCTCAGAGGGGAATGAATGCTTTGTGACTTTTGGCAGTTCTAGGCTCTAGAGTTTAATAACACAGATAATAAAGGGCAAAAAAAGACAAAGATACCAAAGAAAATGTATACAAGTTCTGTATACTCAATTATCTATTGAACTGGGCAAAAAAATAGAAATCTGTCTTCTCAAATAGAGGAGGGTGTTCTCCCTGGACGTCATAAATCTCGCTTCCTTCTTGATAGGGCATCCAGACAAGGCCACTGGTCCTTTTATTTCCACCAGTGTGAGAAGACTAAAGTTAGTGCAGTCAGCAGAAAAAATAATCCTGCTTTCAATACAGGGCTTGCCTGTTGGGTAATTCGAAAGATAACAAAAATTATTTCAGTGAAAGGCATTAAAAAAAATGCTCCTCCAAGTCATTGTTCACAGTTAGCCTTTTATTTTTTAAATTAGAGATTGGTCTTTTTTGTTGTTTTTCTAGCCTATGTCCAGTTTCTCTAGATTAAATGCCTTATTCTGTCATAGTAATGAAAGCTTCTTATGGCTGGAGCAGAAGAAATGCTTTTCGTAAATATGCCCTTCCGCCAGTTTTCGTAAACTCTGCTGGATCCTTGAGCATAAGTAATGCCTCCAAAGCATGTTTTTGTTTGTTTCTAATCTGAATAGGCTGCAAACTGGAATAATTCTTTGTTACAGCTGACAAATATCAGATTGGCACAAGGCTAATTACTCCCTGACACTGGGAGGATTGTACCAATCAAAGTGAGACTGGCAGATTGATGGGCTGAAGGTCATGGTTTATATAATATGTGTTCTCACAGCCTGACTGGGTTCCCAGTCTCCTTCTGTGTTCCAGAGACTTTCCCTTGAGTTCCCTTGGGGAGGCCAGAAAGCACATGAATATAGTTTTAGCTATTGCCAAGTTTAAAGCAAAAAAATCCAAAGGTGGAAAATAAATGCTGAGTATTTCCTGTGCCATTTACCATGACATACTTCTATACAAATATTATGTCATTTAGTCTTTACAGCAACTGTAAACTGGATTCTATGCAAAAGGAAGTTTAGAAAAATTCAATAACTTGCCCAATAACTGTCTAATTAATGCATCTGATTTGAACACAGGGCTGTCTGACTATAGATGCATTGTTCCTTTACTCTTGTTTCCCCAAAAGGCTTGAGAAAGAAAAATAAAATTGAGGAGGGATGAAAAGGAGAACTGGTTAAAAAAGAAAGAGGCTGGGCATGGTGGTACACGTTTGTAATCCCAGCACTCTGGGAGGCTAAGGCAGAAGAATGACAAGTTTAAGCCTAGACTGGGCAGCTCAGCAACTTAGCAAGACCCCATCTCAAAAAATAAATAAAATAAAAGCTGGGATGTTCAATCCCTAGTACCACCAAAAATTTTTTTAAATACATTTTAAAACTAAAAAAAAAGAAATATGAATGAGAGAATAATAGAGTAGCACAATTGCTTTAGATTTTTTATTGTTATTTATTTTTGCTGTTTTAAATTTTTTGTTCGTTTGTTTGTTTTGGTGCTAGGAATCAAATTCCCAGGGCCACACACATGCTAGGTAAGCACTGTACTACTGAGTTACAGTCCCAGCCCCCTTCAGATTCTTTTTTGGTAGAGGGTCTCACTGTGTTACCCAGGCTGGTCTTAGACTCCTGAGACTCAAGTGATCCTCCGGCCTTAGCCCCCTCCAGGCATGCATACCCTGGCCACACCCTGGCATTCAGTTTCTTTTCATATCGTACATTCATGTTTAGACAGCTCTTTCTCCCCAGACAAACTTTATTTTCTAGCTTCTAATAACCTGGCATGCAGAGCAGAGCAGTAGATACAAGGCTGACTCCAGAATGGACCTGCAGCCTGTAAGATGTGTTGTTTCACTTTTCTCATATAGAAGGTATGGGAAGGGAACAGTTTTCTTCCACAAAAATCTATATAAACTTTCCAATTTCAGCCTTCCAACTTGCTCCATGATTTTTATCTACTGTCCACTTGAATCTGATCTCCGAGAAAAAGGAATGCCTTTCTGCCTTTCCTGCCACTGAACACATTTTATGTTTCCTCTCATTTCCAAAGCAGTGACACTGTACACTATGTTTTGAGAGGTAATGTTGATTGAAGCTGTCCCTGAAAGGATGTGTGCTTGACATGTCAAGGAGCGAGTGATTGACAGCAGATCTGAGGACTTCTGTGTCAAGGCTTTGTCAAGTCATTATTGTGAAGCCTGGCCTGCTGAATACCCATAATAATACTCTAGATTTCCATGCACAGATTTCTAGCTCCCTTGTGCACTGATACGCATAGGCTTTAGAAGAAAACCTAGTCTTTTGTCAGTTGGAAGAATAGTAATTTTTGAATCTAACAAAATTTATAATTTTAGAAAACATAAAATCAGTACAGAATCTGCTTTGCTTTTTTTTTTAACCTGAATATGTTGGATTGCCCCCTCCTTGTGTGTTTTCTGATTTAATAGTATGCTCTCTGTAACAGGCAGATTTTATAGCATGCAATTAAATATCTAAGTTGAGACATTTAACCCAACTTGCTTGGCACTGAAAAGATCGTTTCTTACATGCTGAAGAAGGTGACCTCCTATTATTCAAAGAGAAAATAGTTTTCATTATTGATGTTATTTTTTATAAATACTTATAGAAATATTTTTATTCCTTTCCACGTTAAAATTGCCATTAATAATTTTTACTTTAAAAATATGTTTTAGTGCATATTTATACATGGTAATTATATGTATTTATGGGGTGCAGTATGACATTTCATTACATGTGTACACTGTGTAACATTGTATAATACATTTACTAATACTTTGTTTTTTATGTTTTATTGTTTGGAACATGTATTTTATTGTAGTGTCAATTGTTCCAAACTCTAGAAGAAATAATTTGCTATAAAAATTTATTCTGCTTTCTTAGAATAGATAAATATGTAATAAAATTGATTGTACTGTGTTGGCAAATCTTTCAGAACTACATTCTACTCCAGAAGAATTATTAAAATGTGTTAACCTCTGCTCAGCATTAAAGGATATAGATTTTTGTCTTCTAGATCTGTAATATTTGTAAATTTCTCTCAACATTTCAGTTTTTTTAACTATGGCTCTTAGTCTCTTTTGATCAGCTAAAACCTTTGTGTATTTAGTCACCATCCCTCTTTTCACCTCTTTTAAGATTTATACTCCACTCAGTCTTTGCATTATGATTGGTTTTCTTGGTCATATGGTTCTCACTCAACTTAAATTTTTTGTGATGGTGAGAACTTTTAAATTCTTGGAGTGAAATTTGAGTAATAATTGTTCATTCACTGTTTTCGGTATCTCATCAGTCTTGAAATTACAAGATCATATACAAGTGTGTAAGTGTATACAGGAACATTGGTTGTGAATAAAGTGTATGCATCTCCTTTCATAACACTTTTTTTTTTTTGGTACCAGGGATCCAACCTGGGATCTTGCACTTGCGAGGCAGGGGGCAGCACCACTGATCCAAATCTCTGGCCCATGACACTTTTTATATAAAGATTTTGAAATTTTTTTTTTTATTTTTGCAATACTGGGGCAAGCGCAGGGCCACATGGATGCTAGGCAAGTGCTTTACCACTAAGCTATAGTCCAAAGCTTGAGATTTTGAAAGTTTTTAGTAGCAGCCTTTGATTAAGTTTTCCATACACTTGTAAACTATATACTTAGGTTTTTTTCAGTTTCTATTTGGATTAATTATTCTTCAGAATATTAAAGCGAAAAACCCAAATATAATTCTCATTGATACCTCCTTGAGATGCACCTTTGATACTGTCTGTGGAGCTCTTCCACTTATGTAATTTGCAGCAGCCTACAATGATCATCTTGGTGTGTTTCATTCTTTCCAACCCCAGTAAATTTTAAAAATCGGGGGAGGGGCTTTTTATTTTGAAATTATTTTAAACTTAACAGAAAAGTTGTGAAAATAATACAAAAAATTCCACCAGAGGCTTCACTAAACACACACAACTAGTGCTTTCTTTTCCTCATGTCAACAGAATGCATTACTCAAGGCCCAGCACCTTGTGAACCCTTCTGACTACTGGTGGGAAAGTGGTTTCTGTTTCACTCACTGCCTCATTCGTGAGTTAACTCAAAGCTCTCTTGAAGCTATAGCTCGGTGGTCAAGTGTCTGCTTAGTGTGTTCAAGACGTAGGTTTGTAAACCCCAGTGCCAGAAAAAGGTAAAAAGGTTCCCCCTTGGTCATAAATAGTGTTTGTCTTTTTTTCCTGTCCCTCTCCTCTCGCCCATAGCACCATAAGAGTTCAGTGTGTCACCGTCCTGGTCCTTGTGCATGCACACACGTGCTCATTTCTTTTATTTGGCATGCCTCATCTTCAGGACATTCTAAGCTCCCAAGGAAGGAACTTGTATCTTTTCCATTCAGTGTCACCACGGAAGAGCGCGAAAATGGAAAATGCTCAGTAATTTCTTATTAGTTGAGAGTTTTAAGAGAAAATTTGTGGTTGATATGTTTACCTAGGAAGTTCCCTATAAAAACCATAATTGTACTGTTTTTTCTTTCATTCATTTAGGTTGTTAAAGGCCTTACCTATTTGTGGAGTCTAAAGATTTTACACAGAGGTATGTGCTGGGGTGTGGGCTCTGACTTAATTTGCCATGGGCCTGACTGAGGCTGTCTGGATACCTTGAATTTTAGAGTGAATAAATGATAGGACATTTAAGCCAGCTGATATATTTGATAGTCAGAAGGATGGTTACTTGTATAAATGTGAATTCGCTTGTTTTCTTTCTTCATATTTCCTGCTCTCTTATAGATTATAAACTTGGTTTTGTATTTTTGTCAATTTCACTTACCAAACCTGTAAAAAGATATTTCATAGTATTTGAAAAAGACAGGGGCCAGGGATTTAGCTCCGTGGTGCCACCACCTGCCTTGCAAGCACAAGGTCCTGAGTTCAATCCCCGGTACCAAAAAAAAAAGAAAAGAAAAGAAAAATACAGGACCCGTTTGTCTTACTTACCTCTTCAATTGTGGTACACAGCCTTCACCTTGTATACAATTTCACTCTTCCTTTTATTAATAGGCCAGACATCACACATTGTTTCTTAGGAAATTGTTTCTCAGACCTGCAAAGTGAAACTTTACATAAGGAATTGAGAAACAGTCTGAGAAAGCAGTCCCTGGGACATGTTGGAGAATAATCAGATAACTGTTGAATGCTGCAAAAGTAACCTCCCTTTGTTTTTTTAATGTTCCCAAGATGTCTGAATTCATTTAGAAGCAAATTATTAAGTGAGGAAGAGACTATTAGAAAATGTCGGGGCCTGATGCTACCACAGTACTATTTCACATCTGTTCATCCCGGCTTTCTGTACTTTTGGGGGATGCAGCAGCAAACAATTAAATGTGATTAAAGAAAAAAAATTTTAAAGGTATAAACTGTCAGAGGAAGAAAACTGATGTCTGCAACTGTAGTGTTATATCTGTCACCAAGGATTGTTTTCCTTTGTGGGTGGTTATAATATCCTAGTGATTCAATTTTCTTCTCAAATCCTTCCCATTTTAAAGAAGATATCTAGGTTTTGACAATTAAATCAGATATTATCATAATTTAGTTCTTGAAGGTGTTTATGTTGATAAAATGGAACCATAAGCCAATTTTTTCTTCTTTTTTTTTTTCGTTGGGTTTATTGGTACTTTTTAAGTATACAGTACAGTTACATTCATCATTGGAATCTTGTACCTTTACATGACAGATCTTGGTTCTCATTTTTTCCCTATACCTCTGCCCTCCCTTCACCCACTCCACACTCACCTATTTAAAGACTTTGTTGGGCCCAGGATTTGGCTCAGTGGTTCTGCTGCCTGCCTTGCAAGCGTAAGGGCTGGAGTTTGAGCCCCAGTACCAAAAAAAAAATAATAATAATAATAAAGTCTTTGTTTCCATTTTTTCCTTTTCTCATATTTTTTCTTTTCCCTTCTTTCCTTTCCCCTCCCCTTCCTACTTCCCCTACTCCTTTAGCCCTTTTCTTCCTATTTCACATTATCAATTATACAGTGTGAACCTTATTTACACTTTTAATTTTTCACACCAGAGAAACTATTCAGTATTTACACGTGTGTCCTATTTATTTCACTTGAGAGTATGTCCTCAGTATGTATCCATTTTCCTATAAATGACTCTATAGTTTCTCATTCTTTTTGGCTGAGTAGTACTCTGTTTTATAGAAAAACCACATCTTCCTTATCCAGTCTCCAATTCATGGGTAGTTGGGCTGTTTCCAAGTTTTAGCTATTACAAACTGCTGCTATAAACATGGGTGAGCATATATTGCTGTGATATAATTCTTTTAATTCTTTTGGAAAGATACCCAGCAGAGGGATAGCTGGGTCGAATGGCACCTCTAATCCTAGTTCTTTGAGGTATCTCCATATACTGATTTCCACAGTGGTTGCACCAGTCTGCACTCCCACCAACAATGGAGAAGGGGTTCTTTCTGGGGTAAGGTGGAATCTCAGTGTTGTTTCCATCTGCATCTCTTGAATGACCAGTGATGTTAAACATTTTTTCATGTATTTGTTTGCTGCTTTTACTTCTTTGTCTGAGAAATGTCTGTTCATTTCAGATGCCCATTTTTTAATCGAGTCTTTATATTTGGGGGGGCCTGATTTTTTTTAGTTCTTCATATATTCTAGATAATAGTCCTTTTCTGAGGAGCAGCTGGTAAAAATTTTTTCCCGCATTGTAGGTTGTCTCTTAGCTCTGTTGGTGGTTTCTTTTGCAGTGCAGAAGCTTTTAATAAGATGAGATCCCAGTTGTTGATTCTTTGTGCTAGTTCCCGTGCTACTCAGGATTTGTTCATAAAGTCTTCTATGCCAGTGTCTTCGAGAGTTCTGCCTAAATTATCTTCCAGCAAGTTTAGTGTTTCTCATTTAATATTTAGATCTTTAATCCATTTGGATTTTAGTTTAGGTTCTAGTTTTAAATTTTGGCAGGTTGAAATCCAGTTTTACCAACACCATTTATTAAAGAGGCTGTCTTTCCTCCACTGAGGATGGTTGGTTCCTTATTCAAAGATGAAGTAGCTGAGTACATATGGAGCTGTTTCTGAATCTTCCAATCTATTCCACTGATCTTCAGGTCTTTTTCTTTGCCAGTACCATGTTGTTTTTATCACAGACCCAATTTTTTTCTTTAAAGCATCTCTACTCTAGAGTTTGCTTAATGCAAAATGAAGGCGTGGGGAAAGTCAGCTGAATTGTGCTAGGATTACTTTCCCTGGGTATAAATAAGTCTGTAAACACTTCTGACACATCTGGTGCATCAGGATTAAAAGATGATACTATGTAACACGATGTGACTTACCTTGCTTGTTTTTATTCCCTTTACTTCTGCTTCTCCGTACCCACCAACCCACAGAGCGGTCGTAGCCGTTTTAACAGGGAGACAGTGATCGGTTCCCATCATTTCTTGGTTTTTATGGGTATCTGCAGCACAGTTCATTTGATGAAAGAACTACAGGAAGGTGTCAGTGCTCAGTAGCAAAGCCTTCATTCAAAGGACTGTGCCAGGAGGATGGGAGTCACGTTACAAGAGTGAGTCCTAGGACCGTCCTGTTTTCAGTATGCGGGACAATTCTGGCGTTTAATCATTTGGCTCTACCCATAACTGTCTATGAGGAAACTTAGTAGCACTGAGAACTCCAATGGATAGGAAGCTATGCCTTAGTTATTCTGAAATCATCTTGGCTTTTTCTCTTTTAAAGTGAGAAACCATGCTGACAAGTTGGTATGCCTTTAGTATCCCTGTATCTAAATTATTTGGTTTTAGTTTCACTCTGTGTTTGGAGGAAATAACTGAATTTTTCATTTGAAATGGGATCTTGATACACATGTTTCAAATAGATTTTTGTGGATCTGAAAATAAGTCTAGGGTCAGATTCCCAGAACCATTACTCTGCCCTCTGTGTAGGCATGGATGGTGGACCAGAAACTCACAGAGGACAGTAAGTCCTTTTATCTGCGCTGGCTGCAGCTAGCCTGGGAAAGTCTTCTTTAATCTGTGACCCGTGAGGGCTGTAGTGTCTTGGTTGATGGAGGACATGGGGGTTTCAAAGAGGATCCTGGGCCTCTACTTCTGTTTCCAGTCTTTTCTGGCCCACCCAGTTCCCACTGAGTACCCGCTGCATAAGGCTCCACCAGGTGTGGGAAGGTGTCTGAGGGGCTGCGTGAGGGCGTAGAGATTTCAGTCTCAAATGCCAGGGAATGAATGTGTGTCTGTACCTGTCTAGATCAGAGACTAATGAATCTCAGAGCAGACAGAGTAGTTCCCCATGTCACAGGTACTCAGCTGTAGAAATAAGTATGCTGTGCTAATACACCTCATGAAATACATTTACATAATTAGCTTTTGAGTTTCCTAGCTACTCATGGAAACTTTTACTTTCCAGATTTAAAAGTGTATGTTTTTATTGAAGAGCGGAAGAAGACAGGTGTCCCTGGAGACTTTTGTAAAGCATTGTAATGAGAAATTTACCCTTGATTGAGTACTTGTTAATTTAATATTTTCGAGGGGGTTTTGTCCATATTTAATAACTTGGATTCCATAAAAATAAGATTAAAGATCCCTCTTTACTTACCAAAAAGCTATTTAATTTTCTCCTTGATTAAAAAATTGTAGCTTTTTAGAGGAGTTCAATCAGGCAATTAAAGATCAGAGCTTTTAAGTTCAGTTAAGGCAATTAAATAGGTAATATACTTGTTTATACACTTTTGCTGTGTAAGCTTACTGCTGTACTTTCTTAAAAGCACATATACTCATTTTTGCTTCTTCTGATTGATGACGGGAATTCTAGCTGAATATGTGTCACATTGTCAAATCAAAGATGGGAGCCTGGCACAGGCTCTTTGAGAAGACAGACAGTGAAAAGAAGATGGTGAAAGAAAATCCTGAGTGATCTAAGCTTCTTCCTCTTTTGTCTTTGTCTAAGTACGTGTGTTCTCCTCTGATCATCATTTTCTAATGCTACCCCGTCCCTCCCCCCAAGAAAACAAAAAATGAAAAACAGGGTGGGAAAAGACAGCTTTATACTTAATACAAATTTTAAGAAAAATAAATAGAGATAAGTTCAGTTACCTGTATGAAAAGAGAACAAAATATTTCTCATGTCTAAATGGCCTTCTTAGAATGTAGAGGCCCTGTACGTTTTACTGTATAAAATATATGTATAGATAGTATATTGTGGAATTTATGAAACCCAGTTAATACCATCCACACAAAGTGTTGGGATCTGAACTCCTTTCCGTAGTGGATCCGCCAAGGGCTGTCAGGGTGCGGAGCAGTAAGTAACAAACCGCCTGTTCCTCAAGGCTTGTTAGTCTGCTCGCTTGCTTCAGTGTAATGCCTTATGTCAGCTGGAAATGGTTGTAAATTGCTATTCATAATACGTCATCAAATACTATATTCAATCAGCTGTTACTATTGTTTATTTTGCCCTTTTCAATATTTGATTGAGGTGATATTTGTGAGAATACTTTACAAATTTTCCAATGCTAATAACCTAGGTATGTTTTTACTGTATGAGTTAATTACTTCATCCTGTTCATAAGATCATTCCAC